TATTATTACTACATCAGCTCCACCTCAGATCATCAGGCATTAGATCCCGAAGGCTGCAGACCTCGGCTTTAGGATCATGATCGTGTCCTGGTAAATTCCATGCCACATCAGTCAGGAGCAGAACGTGGTGCAGAAGCTGCATTTGTATAACTTGGTGTTAAGCATTTCCACAGAAAAATATCTGTGCCTCTTCCTGTTTGCATTTCCTTTTCTCCGCTCATTCTCTGGGTCTCCTCTGACTTTAGAATGTGAAATGTATTTAGGAACCATCACTTCATGATTCTAACAACTTGACCCCTGCCTCCCTGGTAGCCTCTACTTCTGGTTCATGCCTAGGAATTACAGCATTATTGGAGCCTTCCACAGGCCAGGCCCAGTGTTCATGCTTCTTGGAGCACTGTCTCTTTGGATCCTCACCAAACGCACAAGGTCGAGACCATTTCCAGCTTGCTGATGACAGTACTGACTAGGCTGCTTGTAGCCGTGGTCACATGCGGAGAGGCAAGGCTGACTGCTAAACGCTGAGCTTCCTTCCCAGAGGAATTGCAGTGGATAACTTTTTCTACACATTTTGGTGATTTAAGTTTTTTTTTTTTAAGTTACCTTGGTTACGAGGTATAAGAAACCTTAAAACACTCTCAGACTTGTGCTCTCTTCAGCAGCACCTGTACTAAACTTAGAGTGATACAGAGAAGATAAGCATGACCCTTGTGCAAGGATGACAAATAAATACATGAACATTCCATATTTTGGGGGGCCAATGGGGGGCCAAATTCTGTTATTTGCATGTGTAATCCCCTCTAATAAACTTAGGTGCTCAGAAATTTAAAAAGAAAACAACAAACAAAAAACCCACTCTCAACTCTGAAGTGAATGTTCTAAGGATCAAGAGGTCTGCTGATCCCAGTCCTTCCACCCCTCAGGGTGCATGCTGGCCCTGTGGTGACCCTTGCTTTCCCTGAGAACCCTAAGGTGACCCCAGAGGCTTCTGGTGGAATCATTCACCTCTCTGCCTCACGCCTGCAGGCTCCCTGGCAGTGAAGGGGGCTCTTTGGCTGCTTTCCCATGTCAAGGGAGAAAATATAAAAACTGTATTTTAATGTTACAAAGTAAAACATATGATGAGGTAGCAACCTTGGGTAAGGTATCCTACCTACATACTTGTATTTGTGACATGGATATATTTTCTATAATAATATCTATAGATTTCTGATTATGAATGTATATTGCAAGGTTTAAAAAGACACAAAAGCAGAGTGATTTGATTGACTTCTGACTGACAAACCTTAGGAAATGACTGGCTCACCTTGACATGGAGCTGTCCTACAGCTTCAGGAATGGGTCATCTCATGGGTACAGCTCAAGGTGTCACTGACAGTGATGCCTGAGCAAGAAGCGGTGACGTTTGAAGACGAGATGTCTTGATGCCATTTAGTAGTAGAATTTTGTGTTTATAAGGCATAAGCCTCAATTCTGTGGCTTTTTTACAGAAGGAAGCCCTCATTTCCTGGTGATGCTAGATAAAGTCATCATTTGTGCATCAAATGTTCCCTGAGAACCTCCCATGTGTCAGCCCGTTTTAGCACTGGGGACACACGATGAGGAGCATTATGGGCCTTATCTCACGTCCCTCCTCTGTGTGTGTGGGACAGGGCCCAGTGCACGCATGGGAGGATAGTGGCAGGCCGTGGCTCTGGGAAGTGGGTGCTGAGGACCACCAGGACTTGTCTCCTCCAGGACTTAGAGCATTGCTGACTCCCATGGGGTCCACGTCTCAAACGTCATCCTCTGGCTTCAAGAGCAGTACTCCTGACATCCTCTTACGCTGACAGACAAGGCCTTCCAGAAGATGTGCGTCTTAAACCTTTGGACGTCTTACCTCCTGGCTCTCCTGGTGGTCACCCGAGGCCCCAGAGGGGTGTGATGCTCTTTCTCCAGCCCTTAGATCAGAAAAGAGAGAACTGGCAGAGACAGAAACTGATCACTGATACATCTGGCTCGGAGAAAAGAGGTGTCAGTGGAGTCCAGCCTGAGTGTCTACTGAATAGATGCTGACCACACAAAAGCTCTAAATGAGGAGACATTTGATGGGCCTGGGTAGGCCTGGGCCTGGCAGCATAGGCCAAGACACTGGAGAAGCAGGCATGGCGGTGCCCTCGTCGGGCAGTGGGCAGCTCGCTGTGTCCCTTCTCAGTCTGCCACCATGGACATAGTTTTTTTGGGCTGTCCTCACCTCTGGATCTGGAGTGTGCCTTGTGCGGTGAGATCAAATTGCCAACATCTGTTAGATCACTGAAAAAGCAAGAGAGTTCCAGGAAAACATATACTTCTGCTTTATTGACTATCCCAAAGCCTTTGATTGTGTGGATCACAGCAAATTGTGGAAAATTCTTAAAGAGATGGGAATACCAGATCACCTTACCTGCCTTCTGAGAAATCTGTGTGCAGGTCGAGAAACAACAATTAGAACCGGATATGGAACAAACTGGTCCAAATGGGGAAAGGAGTACGTCAAGGCTGTATATTGTCACCCTGCTTATTTAGCTTATATGCGGAATACATCATGCAGAATGCCAGGCTGGATGAAGCACAAGCTGGAATCAAGATNAAGGAGTCGGACACGACTGAGTGACTGAACTGAACTGAACTTGTTGGGTGAGGAGAGCATCCCTGGGCCACAGACTTAAAAAGAAGACTTCTTCAGTCCACTGGAAGAGTTTTACTTTGTCTTGTTGCCCTCTTCACCTCTTTTGAGGGGCAGTGACACTCAGGTGCGGTCAGCTTTGTGCCAGGTTCTGAGATGTGGCTGGGTTTGACTTGGAAACTCCTGTGCGTGGTGGGAGTTTTGCCTTGGCTACCAGACTTAAGTTGTTCAGAGCAAGCCATGCAGTGCCGGGGTCCAGCCCCAGCAGGATCCAGGAGGTACCCTCAGGATGAACGGCGTCGGTGAGAGATAGAAGACACGTGAGACCAGCCTTCATAGGGCCAAGTCTGCGAGGGATAGAGAGAGGAAGAGAGAGAGAGAGAGTGACCAGGCGGGGGGTGCAGAGTCTGGCAGAGTCTGGCAATGCTTTATTTTTTACCATAGCTTTTATACCCTAAGTTAGTACATTTCTAAGGGGAAGATAGTTTAACATTACGTCAGCTTATCCTTCACAAAACCAGGGTGTTTTCTGCATACTTTTTTGTTTATGAGGGTCTTGTACATTATCTTCTGGCCTTGGGGCCTATTAACATTTTATGCAGGTCAGGTGAATATAAACCTATTTTCCGTTTTTATGGTGACCTTAACTGAAAGGTAACAGTCTCATAGGGAAATAGTACAGAGTAGAATTTTATTCTTGTTAATACAAAAATTAATCCTTCTGCAAAAGTTGTCAGTTGCGTTTATCTAAGAAGTTTACCCCACACAGACTCTACAGCTTCAGTGAGGCAGCCTCTGCCTAGCACTCCTGACTGACAATTAGCAACCATCTCATTGTTAGCACACTAGGGCTAAGTCCTTTTTTCTCTAGATCTTTAACTATATTAACAATGGTTTCTATAACACAACCTTAGCACATTAAAAGCAAAAACACAGCAAGCAAATCTCAACCCAGTAACCACCTATAGAATAATTTTTCTTATGTTTTCTAATAGGACTCCTTTACCCCTTAAAAGGGCTCTATATCTATTAGGGCTTTTATATAATCAGGTTATTTATGCTATTTTATGATTAGGATATTATAAGCAATCATGCATATTAGTACCAAGGGCATAAATGCATTTGGCTAACAAACTACCAGCAAAGGAGTTTAAATTAAAACACTCCTTTCACCCTGAATAATCTCATAAAATACCACCACCTGGGAAACTTATAGATTAAAGTTCTAAATTTATTTTTATTTGGAAAGAAATCTGGGAAGGCCTTCTGCCTATGTTACAGAAATTAGGGAGTAGTCTATTAAAGCAAGCATCGGAAGAACAGATACCATCTTTAAGGTGAGCGCCGGGGGCAGCTTGGGGGCAGCTTTTCGGAATCCCTGAAAACCTGATCCGCCTTGCCCGTCAGGCTTTCTCCCCATGACCTTGTCATGGGTGGGATCTCGTGAGCTAGCCTTTTCGAAATCCTTGAAAACCTGATCCGCTTTGCCCGTCAGGTTTTCTCCCTCATGACCTTGTCATGGGTGGGATCTCGTGTGCCGGTTCCCGGCAACGCGGAGCTCCAGGTAGAAGGCAAATGCTTCCTGTGTGTGTTTTTATCCACCGTGTACTCTCTCTAAAGGGCTCCCCTTGAGCATGAAGGCCTTGCCCCAGACAGGTCTTACATGTGGAGATTGAGTCATGGAACGTCAGAATCTCAAGGTTGGACCAGGTCTTAGCATGTCCCTAACCCAGCTTTTTAGTCACATAGTATCCTCCAGTTGCCCGTCCCAATTGGTGACCTTCAGGAGTGAGCATCTCTTGCTGAATGCTGAGTGAGAAGGAGTGGCTTCTGTAGAATGCAAGCCCCTGCTTCTGTGTTTACCAGCTTTGTGACCTCACACACATGGCTGGAGCTGAGCCTGTCCTCACTGTCTCTGTAGATGGCCTCCAGCCAAGGAGCCTCACTCTGGGGCCACACTCACGGCAGCAGTCACTGGCCATGTCGCTCTGGGGACCCTGAGCTCCTCCAGGCCTTGTTGCCTGGGGAGGGCACACTCGGTCTGGTTGCAGAGTGCCTTTTGCCTGGGCTCTGTGTGCACACGCGCGCGCGTGTGTGTGAGAGAGAGAGGATGGGAGAGACAGACAGGAGCCTAGTGACTCTCCAGTGTTCTCAGTTCCTCTGTCCCTCTCCTCCAGTCCTGTTAACTTCCCCCTCCTGGCCCACCTGTGGCTTTCAGGGGCTGCTCTCACTTAACTGAACACCTTCAGTCTTTGGTGAGAGGACAACCCGTGTGAACCCCAAAGTGGACCCAGTTAAGCATGCGCAAAGCTGCTTAGCTGGTCGAGAATTAACTCTTTTTTTCTTTCTCTTTCAGTGGTTGATATCACAGCAAGTATCCTTTCCTTGGTACTATTCCCTTTAAGGAAAGCTCCTTCTAAATAAAAACATGTGTTATAAACTTGAATTCTGCTTATAATGCAGACTTTGGGTTTGGGCTTTGCCCCACAGATGCCCTGGAGCATCCCTTTAGACCAGCAGCTTCTCCCTGGGTGCGGTGCTCCTCTTCGTGCCCCAGCGTCTAGCTCCACACCAGCCAGCAGCAAGCTCAGGGATTACTAGGGGAATACGTGAACTTGAGATTTTAGAGCGGACGGGGATGTGCCCAGCCAGCCAGCCTCTGCAGTGTAAGAATGCTGAACTATAGCCCTTTTAAACTGACCATTTTGTAGTGTCTCTACTTCCTTAACAAGACATCACTAGATCCCACAGTTTGAAGATGTTAAGTTTGAAGCAGCGAGTCTTCTGTCCGAGTTATACTGTCAAGAGGTAAGAACATGTAAAGGTTTCTGAAAGCAAACGCTCTCTCCCTGTAGTGAAGGCACAGTGGCAGATTGGGACTCACAGGAGTGGATTCCCTTCTGGCTTTTAAGATTTTGCATAATTTTCCTGTCTTCCACACCTGGTGCTGGTGATGAACAGGGAGGCCTGGTGTGCTGCAGTCCATTGGGTCACACAGAGTCGGACACAACTGAGCGGCTGAATTGAACTGAGCACCTGGTACAGGGCAGCCATGGATGGCCACTCGCTGACAACGGCTAGCAGAGTCTTTTTCTACTGAGCACTGTTGGAAAGCAGCCTTGTTCCTGGGCTGAAGATGATTAATTCCTGACCAAGTTCACATAGTTTAACTGAAGCTGGTTTCTGATCTCAAGCGTAACTGAAAGTTGCCTTTCTCTGCTTTGAACGGTGACTCTTGTTTCAAGCCCCTGGCCCCTCACTCTGGTTACAGTTCAGAAAAGATGGTAATTGTTATCAATTTGACTGTTCAGGAATTTGAAATAAAGCTACTTTCAGTTTAGTTGACTAGGGAATTATTTTAAGATCAATGTAAAAAACTTCCCAGCCGGTGAGGCTAATAAAATATCTTTTCTTCTTAAATCAAGCAGATCCTTTGGTAAATGTGTCTGGGAATGGCCGCCTGGGTCCGCAGCTGCTGCAGAAGGAATCCAGCTTGTTTTTTCCTCCTTAAACATGACTGTCTCCTTTCAGAATTCCGTGGACGCAGCAAAGCCGCTGCTGCGGAAAGCCATCCAGATTTCCCAGCAGACCCCGTACTGGCACTGCCGCCTGCTCTTCCAGCTCGCTGTGCGTACTGTGGGCCTGACCAGATGCCCGGGTGCCGGTTGGGTGGGCGGCTCTCTGGGCTGGGCCTTCCTGGCTGCAGTGGAGGAGCCTGCAGGCCAGGTAGACTCATTGGAGATGCCTCTCCATCCTGGCTCTGCCCATATCGCCCTGTCTCTGGCCAGCCTCCAGCCTCCTCTGACCCTGGCACGGCCTGCCCCCCAGCCACTTCTTGCCAGCCCTCCGTGATGAAGCCCCATTACGTGCCTGTGCACACAGTGGGGCCTGGGCTGCCAGTGTCACCTGCTCCCGGGGGAGCCTCTCAATGCCAGGAGGATTTGGCTCAGAAGGTCCCCTGCTGAGGAGAGCTCACCTAGCCTGAGCGGCTGCCTTCTGTCCAGGCACCCTCCTGCCCCCCACGTGCACTGCCCTCCTGGAATCCTCCCATGGCTTCTGTCTCTTTCGGCAGAGGAGGGAGCAGGCGGGGCACGGAGTCACTTGGCTCAGGCCACGGAGCAGGTGGGTGCGGTGAGCGGAGCCCAGGCCCTCAGGGGAGGCCCCACAGGCGTCCCTGCCCGTCAGCCTGCGTCTGGGACCCCCGCAGCCCGTTGCCCCTGAAGGAGGCCCTCCTGTCTGCGGCCCCTCCGGCCCTCCCCTGTGGCCGGCCCCCGGAGGCGGCCTGCGAAGCATGCAGGCGTGTCGCGTGGCCCTCGGGCCTGAGCCCGCTGGCGTTCCTGCTGGCTCTCTGCGCCGTTGAGCTGGAGGCGAGGCGGGGTTCTGTGCCCAGAGCAGCTAGTGTTGGCAAGGCAGCATGCTTAGTCTAGCTCAGAGCGGATACTGAGGCAGTTTTGCTGATGTGGGGAGGTTTTGTGTAACTTGCTTGCAAGGTAGCAGGTCAGACACGGTAAGTCTGGTGGTTTGAAAGTGAGGGTCATTGCTCTTTTTCCTTCTCTCAGCAACTGCACACACTTGAGAAGGACCTGGTGTCGGCCTGCGACCTCCTGGGTGTGGGAGCCGAGTACGCCCGGGTGGTGGGATCTGAGTACACACGGTAGGCCCCCTCTCCTTGGGCCCTTTCTTCGCTCACTTGGAAAAGTTTGGTCACCTTGGTCCTGGACAGCAAATAGAAATGGCATTTCAGCGTGAAACGATGACCACCCTTATTCATAGTAAGAGACACACAAATTCAGGCAGCCCAGAGATGCCTTTGCCCCATCGATTCATGAAGTAAGAAGTTGTTGAGCTGACTGTGAGGGTGAGGGGCAGCTGGCATTCTCAGCACTGTGAGCACTTGCATATTTCTAGCATCTCTTGAAATAAAAAGGGCTCGTGAATTTGCTGGGCTGATCCGCTTCCTGGTGGGATGTGAGAGTGGTCCTTGTAGATACTGTGGGCAGCATGGTTGGCAGCCAGTGTCCCCACTCAGCACACCCAGGAGTGTTTAGGTATATAATAGGAGACAGAGTAAGAGGACATTTGTGTCAAAGACCGGACATAGGTTCGTATTATGCATGAAGCTGCTTAAACTACCTGGAGGCTAGTGCCCTGGGGTTGGGGTCAAGGGTCAGAGGCCACCAGTGCCTCACTGTGTGCCCTCTTAGAGGGCCTGCAATCTCTTTTTACCCTGAAGAGAAGAATCCTCTGTAGTAGAATTCCAGACTCCTGGTAGCAGTGCTATTAGTCTGTTGTATGTGTGTGGGGATTGTGAAAAATTCTGTACACAGACTCTAAGCTTGTCCCGTGGGCTTGTTGGGACAGAACAGTTCCTAAGTCTGTTCTCTTGAGTTCTGGACTTGCAAGTGCTCACAGGGGTCCACACAGCTCCCCGCAGACTTGCATCCCTCTGCCACCCTGCCCTGGGATGGACACTCCCGGTCTGGCCCGTGCGCCTGGCCTGTGTTGTCCTCCTCACGCTGCAGCCGTTACTGGGTTTGGGGTGACACTCAGAGACTTGCAGGGCGTGGGGATGGCCGCACACTGCACATGTTCACGAGTGTCCTCAAGACAGGCCTCTGTAGCACTGTGGGCAGATAACTGGGTGGGCCTCACCAGGGCATGGCACCTACAGGACTCCTGACACAGAGCTTCTGATCTCAGAGGTAAGGCCTAGTGAGTGATAATACGGGAACCTTGATGTGAAGTTCTGGACCTTAGATTTCAGCACTCAGACAGGAGACCCTAGGGTGTCCATGCTGTGAGGTAACAACAAAGAATGACAGGTGGCTGGGAGTGTAGACATCTCTCTGTGTGACTGGGACCCCCGTGCCCTCAGTCTCCTCACCTGGAACCATGCCCACTTGATGGGGTGTCAGCTGCAGCACCTCAGGACTCTGCACAGACTGGCGGGACAGAGACTTGGGTGTTGAGCAAACTGGGCCCTGCAGGCTCTGCATGCCTGCAGCCCCACAGCTGGCCCTAAAAGCAGCGGTCTTAGCCGTTGGGCCACCAGGGAAGTCCTCACTCCATGCTTTCTTGAGCCCCTGTTTCTGCCTTCTGAGCTTTTGAACCTCATGAGTGCCTAAACAAGAAAAAAGTTAAAGGAAAATAGAACAAAATAGAGCACACTTATTGGCCAGGGTCCATTGTCGTCCATCTAACTGCCCCAGGGGTTCGGTCCCTGTGAATGTTGAGGTGTCAGTCATCCTCGGGGTTGCCTGGGCCTCCCAGACCTGACTCCCCTCTCTCTTCCAGGGCACTGTTCCTGCTCAGCAAAGGGATGGTAAGTGGAGGCTGGGCAGGGTAAGGTGTGGTGGACATGAGTTTGGGTTCCCAGGGTCTGCCAAGGCTTCGCCTGCTTGCCATGTCATGGTCCATCAGTCGCCCAGACCCTCACGCATGGCAGGTAGCCATGAGAGGCAGACCCTGTTCCCCATCCCCCAGCTGGATTCAGAGACACAGCTCCAAGTCCGGGTTGTGGGATTTGTGCTGATGGAGGAGCCGCCTCGGTTGGAGCTGCCTGGACTTGGGTTCCAGCCTGGCTTTGTGCCCTCCCTTTGAGGTGCCAGCAGTTGCACAGTGCATGGGCAGGTGGGCGGCAGCCCTGTGCACCAGGAGAGTCCCCAGCACATGCACCTCTCCCCACAGCTGCTGCTGATGGAGCGCAAGCTGCAGGAAGTCCACCCACTGCTGACCCTCTGTGGACAGATAGTTGAGAACTGGCAAGGGAACCCCATCCAGAAAGAGTCTTTGCGTGTCTTCTTCCTGGTGCTCCAGGTGACCCACTACCTGGATGCTGGGCAGGTGTGTACTGCCGCCCACGTGATGGCCGCTGGGGAGTAGGCAGGTGGTGGATGGGCCTCTGACTGAGAGATCGGTTCTGGGATTGCCTCCTGTCCCTCCCCACTGGCCACACTTCCTGGTTCCCCCACCCACACCCACCTTTGCCTGTTGGGCTGAGCACTTCACTCAACAGATCGAAACAGAGCAGACTCTGAACAGGGTGCTGACGGCTGGGGAGATGGCCCGTAGGGCCTCGGGGTGGGACAAGGCAGGCAGGACCTGGCTAGTTGCCACTGTGGGGACCTGCCTCTTAAGGGTGTTGGCACTTGATAGGAGCAGATGGGTGGTCAGCTGTGCAGTGCTGTCTGCCTGCTGCAGGTAAAGAGCGTGAAGCCATGCCTGAAGCAGCTGCAGCAGTGTATCCAGACCATCTCCACACTGCACGATGATGAGATCCTGCCCAGCAACCCCGCTGACCTCTTCCACTGGCTGCCCAAGGAGCACATGTGCGTGCTTGTCTACCTGGTGAGTCCCTGCCGGGGCCGGGGCCTGGCGGCCAGGTGAGAGAGGAGAGGGCCTCGGTGACCACCACCATCTGACCTTGTCATCAGGTGACTGTGATGCACTCCATGCAAGCAGGCTATCTAGAGAAGGCGCAGAAGTACACGGACAAGGCCCTCATGCAGCTGGAGAAGCTCAAGAGTAAGTCAGGCTCTGTGGGGCCCAGTGGGTCAGTAGCCCCCTGGTGGACAGCCCGCCCGTCGCTGCCAGTCCTGGGCCTGGAGGACTTTGAAAGACTGCAGCAAGGGTCTCCGCCCCATAGGTCTTGTACCCCAGTTGGCAGATAGGGATGATCAGGTTCAGGCAGAGCCATGCCAGGCCTGGACAGGATCCTTGCTCCCCAGGGAGGTTGGGTGAGTACTTGTAGCATCTCTGTCCTATCGCCCTCACTGCACAGATAGTCATGAGGGTTAGTGGGGCTCCACCGGAACCTGCAGGGACAGCAGTGCTCAGCTGAAAGAGGCGGTGGCTGCTTTTGCTGTCCGTTATCAGTACTGTAATGTGGATTGTGCTCAGGGTGAGATCGGAATTGGAACTTGGCTGACAGCAGATCCTCTGGGGGTCCTAGGTTCTTCTGGGTGCTTAACTTATCCATCCTGGGTAATTGAGGACCTTTGATTAGTGGGAACCATAGAGCCCCACGTGTCCCTGGCTGGCTTGTGCCCCGTTCACCCTATTCACTCCCTGCGCCCTTGTCAGTGCTGCAGGGGAGGAGCCAGAGAGCCAAATTTCGCAGGAACTACTGTTCTTTTCTTTCAGATGAGTTGGGAAAGTGCTGTCTGGTTCTAGTGTGAGCACAGCCTCTTGGAACAGCCAGAAGTTGTGGTCCCCCCCACCCCCGCCACTGTTGTCTGAGGCTTGTTGGATAGTCTCCCAGGCAACCTCGGCATTTCTAGAACCTGTGGTACCCAGCGTGCCCTTGAGCACTCAGCTGGGTCAGGGCAGGGGTGCAGATTGAGGATGGAAGACAGATCCCTTTAAGAATTTCTTACTCTTAAAATATCTGGTCACCAAAACCTGGCTATGAACCTGATTCCTCACCTGGACAGGGAGATGGACCCCCTTGCTTGAAGGTGCTGTGGGCACCAAGTAAGGTGGCAGATTGGGTGCTAGGCCAGTGCCTCGCAGAGCAAGTGGGCTCAGACGCAGGTAGCTAGCTGAGGGGCTGGTGTGGCAGGAGGGCTCGAGGCCTGCAGGAGGCAGGGGCGTGGGTCAGTGTCTCTTCGGTGGTCTCCTCCTCCTGCACCTCGAGGGCTCACGCCCGCCTCTCGCCCCCAGTGCTCGACTGCAGCCCCATTCTGTCCTCCTTCCAAGTGATCCTGCTGGAGCACATCATCATGTGCCGGCTCGTCACAGGTCACAAGGCCACCGCGCTGCAGGAGGTAGGCCGCCGGGGGCCGCGTGCACACCGGGCGGGGGGCGTTTGAATTTGCTGGGTCCTCAGGGTGTCACTTGGGAGAACGTAACCTGGTCATCCATGAGCCTTAATGGACATAATCAGAGGTTTTTAACCTAAAAGTTTTTATGCCCAAGGAACGCGGGGTCTGGGGTTTTCGAGTCTGCTAATGGCAGTTCTAGCACCCCTCCTGCCTAATGATTGTAATCCTTGATGCCCACCTTCCTGAAAAGGCATGGGGATCTTGATAAGGATGTAGGTACTATATGACTAAGACACAGGTTGCAAAGGGAGGAGGCAGAGAACCAGACAAGGGTCAACATCCTCACAGTGGGCACAGCTGCTGGGATTTTATGCCCAGGTTAGACTGGGTAGTATGTGGTTACCCCCACTGGCTTTGGGGGCCTCTTCTCAATGCTGCCAGGGTCCTGGGTCCCACATTACAGTGATGTCAGACATGCTCTCCCTGCAGATCTCCCAGGTCTGTCAGCTGTGCCAGCAGTCACCTCGGCTCTTCTCCAACCACGCCGCACAGCTGCATACACTGCTGGTGAGTGCATGAGGGCTGCCCGCCCCCAGCCCCACCCCTGTGAGTAGCCCTGTGGCCAACACCCCAGGCAGGTCTTAGAACCTTCCCATTGGACTTCATTCTGACAAGAGTCTCATCAAGTCCAAGTTGACTCAGGTCCCAGGAGGCAGGAATAATGAAGCATGCCATCTTCCCCTCCATTTGTCAGGGTAAAGCTCAGATACAGCTGTCTCGGTCGAGTCTCCAGTCAGGCTTGCCTGGGTGCAGCTGTGCAACCCTAGGCAGGCCGCATGTGGCTCTGAGCCCTGGGCATTGTCTTCTCCTAGGGCCTGTACTGTGTCTCTGTCAACTGCATGGACAACGCCGAAGCCCAGTTCACCACAGCTTTGCGGGTAAGGTGCCGGCCCTCACTTTATGGGGCAGGAGGTGCTTCTCAGTAAGGAGTCGGGACAACAGCCACACAAACCGTGGTCAGTGGGTGACTCAGCAGCATCTAGCCTGGTGCCAGCTGCGACTGTGCTGTGCCGTTTATCCAGGGCTTCCTTTGTCAGGCCTTGTGCCACCCGGCTACGGACAGGCCAGCACTGGCAGCACAGCCTGGTGCAGGATAGCTGTGGGCAAGGGGGCTCCTGGCCACACTGGGGTGCGGCTTCCCCAGCTAACTCAGGAGGGCAGCCTCAAGGAGGTTGTCTTGAGCCAGGCACCTGCTGGACATGCCCTGGTTAGCCAGTTTGAGGATTCCCAGTCCTCCCAGTGGTCCACCAGGTGATGTTGACTTGTGTCCCAGCTACTTGGGCCCTGGTGCCGTTCACTCCACTGGTGCTGAGACCTCCCCTCATTGCCTGTGGCCCTCTGAAGGTCTCTTAGACACACCTTCTGTATCCCACTTCCTACACAAGTTGCTGCTGCTGCTTTGTTTCAACATCAAAATTCCCAGCAGATGGTGTGTGCCACCAGGGGTCCTGTCCACCAACCTGGGGGGGGACGTGGTACAACCAGAACTTGGATCCCGACCCCTCATGACCCCAAACATATTTCCTGTGGTCCTGTGACAAACATTGGAGCATCTTTGCTCAGATCAGACAGCCCTCTGGATCTCCTTGGCTCCTACCAGGGTCCTCCAGGTGGGGTTTGTGCTTCATAGACACTCTCGGCTTCTTACACAGTTGCACTCACTGAGCCCCGTTTAGAATGCTCAGCCCCACAAGGTCTGAGCAGTGCTCAAACCACTTAGATTGGTTCCTCTCATGGCCATTCTCGTTCCCCCAGAAAAACGGGGACGGTGATCTGTCTACTGCCAGCCATTAGCAGAGGAACCAGCAAGCATGCTCCTCTGCTGTGTTTACACACCCTGGGGTCCTGGGGTGGCCACCTGAGGTGTGGGGGCGGGGCACCCAGGTGCTCAGACTGAGACAGCAGAGAACAGAGCAAACTGGCGTGTTCTGAGGACAGGCTCTGGGGTGGCTGGCTGTGCTTTTCTGTTTCCTGAGTTTCCTATAATGCAGATAATTGTTTTATAATGACAAGAACTAACAATTTTGTTGTCCTTAGGTTCAGGAGGCAGAGGTATGTATGTGTGTTTGGAATAAAAAGAGTAAGAAGATTCCAAGGTAGCTGTTGTGGAGCGTTTGGGTGGCTGTGATGCCACCAAGCGACCCCCAAGTGACATGACTGTGCCCAGCCTGGCCCCCTAATGCCCTGTGTCTCCCATATTCCAGCTCACCAATCACCAGGAGCTGTGGGCCTTCATCGTGACCAACCTGGCGAGTGTGTATATACGGGAAGGAAATAGACACCAAGAGGTAGTAGGTGACATGCTTCATGTTTGGTATCCTTTCTTTCAACTCTTACTTGGAGGAGGGTGTGTGGGAAGTGTGGTCCTGGGCACCAGCAAATCTCTCGACCCTAGGGTATTTGTCTTCCAACAAAGTGTCCCACCGAGTGGAGCATGGGTGTGGCTGGGGAGAGGCCAAGTCTAAGACAGAAACGTTTCCATAGTAAATTAACACTTCTCTCTACTGAAAACTAGCCAAGCATTGAATCCCTTGGGGAAAAAAGAAAATTTCTTCTACCCTCAGCTGTCTGTTCTGGCTGTCTGTCGGTGAGGCCTCTTGGCTCAGTTACGAGGAGTGACTCCTTGGGTCCTGTCTGCATCAGGCCCCTAGGTGTTCTGGTGCCCCAGCCTGCTGGAGCAGGGAGGCGGGCACCAGAGCTTGCCCCCCAGGATAAGTACCTCCCACCTGGTTTCCCATGTGACACCCCCTTAGCCCTCCCATTTCCCTCCAGCCTGGAGCCCTCTGGCGTGTCTCAGATCAGCCACTGAACTGCATGCCTGTGACCTTCATTTTGTAGTTCAGGCCACTGTCATCTCTTAGCTACAAAGAGAGATGGCCCTGTCCTCAGCTGATGTCACACATATTTGGTTGGTTTGAATGCTTTGGGCAGAAGGCCCAGTCCAGCTGCTCCAGTGGCCTGAGAGCACAGCAGGGCAGGGTCCTGAGGGCCTGATGTGATCTTGGTGGGTCTTAGAGGAGTTTGGCTCCCTTTGTCTCACCTCCACCCCCACCACAATGTTTGCCTCCTGAAGGGACTACGGGGGTACTGGGCACAGCCACAGCCCGCTTCAGCCCTCATCCCCCAACCCACCTTCCCCTCCTTACATCAGCCAGAGGGAGCTTAAGATGTCAGCAACGTTGCAGGTTCTGTCCCTTCCAGCAGGTTGCACTCAGTCATGGGATTTGAGGTACGGGCATATGCCATGAGACTGGGTTAGGAAGTTGCAGGCAGCCCTAGTCATTTACTGGAATACTGGGGCCAGACCTTCTCATTTTTAGAAATGCAGAGTTATCCTAACTTGTAGACATTTCTTTCACAGCTGTACAGTTTGCTGGAGAGGATCAATCCAGACCACAGCTTCCCTGTCAGGTAGGCAGCCCCAGGCCCCAAATCCCACTTTACCAACTTTCTTATGCCTTCTCTGCTCTTGAGGTAGTGTGAGCATCTGTGGGGCCCCAGATTGCCTGTGTACCCCAACACCTCCCATCCTCCCACCCAGTCCTCATTTGTAAATCTGCTGCTTTCATTAAAACTCACTAAGGTGTGACGCCCCACTCTCCCCTCAGCTCACACTGCCTCCGAGCAGCGGCTTTCTACGTGCGTGGGCTCTTCTCCTTCTTCCAGGGACGCTATAACGAGGCCAAGTAAGTACTGGAGAGGGCAGGTGGCCCTGGACCTGGCACCGCTCGATGTTTCTCTTCCCCCAACGGCACGTGCCCAGGCCCCCTGTTCCTGCCCTCCCCACCCTCCCCCAGGTGGTCTCTGCTCAGGGCCCCAAGGCCACTGCTGCCTTTTCTTCCCCGAAAGCCCTCCCAGTGGGGCCTCAGCATCTCTTCTTCTCACAAAGGCGTTTTCTGCGGGAAACCCTGAAGATGTCCAATGCAGAGGACCTGAATCGGCTCACAGCCTGCTCCCTCGTGCTCCTAGGCCACATCTTCTATGTGTTGGGAAACCATAGGGTGAGTGTCGGGGGCCAGGCTGAGGGGCATAGGGCCAGGGTGGTGCTCAGTGGGGTGGAGGTGGGTGAGGGGAGCACCTAGCAAAGTGCCTCCATCCCGTGCCCTGCAGTGAGCCTATCTCAGTGACCTCTCACCCCCATAACCCCCCACCTGCACCCTGCTGCTCCCTGAGGCTCAGACAGCCTGGGCAGGCAGGGCTGAAGGAGCTTTGAGTTCCTGAAGGGTGCAGACAGGGCCAGTGTCGGCCTCTGGCAGTTGTCAAGCAAGGCCAGGGCTCAGTGGGGCCAGAGCTGCTCAGACTGCCCAGAGCTGCCGAGGCTGAGGGCAGGGCCCCTCCCCTGTGTCAGTATGTGGGGCTGAGAGGTGCGTCCTCTCAGCCACAATCGCAGGGATTCCACCTCTGCCCGTCACACACGGTATCCTCAGGGTGCCCTGTGTTTACCCTCACCAGCCGTGTCCCCCTGCGCCTGGTCCCCACCCATGCCATCTGGTCTCGGGTGGGATCAGTTGACTTCTCAGTCTCCCCATCTGGGGGTGTTTGAACATCTCACCTACCCCAACCCATTGACCTTACAAGCTCTTTAATTTTTTAAGAACATGTTTGTCGGTATAAAAGATGCTATGGTTATCCTAGAAAGTCTGAGAAGCAAAGGAGAAAATCCTCACATGTCTTGTGTCTTCAGCTCTTTTCATTGCCTGCCTCTGTCCAAGCCTAAGTTTTATCAGGCTGTTTTATAATTTTATGTCTGGTCTTTCTCTGCACCACTGTGTTGGGGCGTTTTTTTAATGGCAGTGAGAATTTTTAAGTGGCATCAGTTCAGTGCTATAGCTGAACTCACTTTAGCTGTTTTCAGGACAGGGAATGCAGGCCCATAAAGTTTTATCTGATCAAACCCCAGAGCTTCTAAAGAATGAATGTTTTTAATAAGCCCAGTGCATCTCCCCTCCCCACAATCACGTGACAAGCATTTTGCGAGGCTCAACCCTGCAGCTATGTCCTGAACCCTGGCAGGATCAATACCCTGAAAGGAGGGTCAGCAGTGGGTTCTTCCTTCTGAGCGTAGCTCCACTCCTAGAACACCTTGTCGTGGTACTCAGGGAGCACAGGGAGAACAGTGGCCTCAGGGCGCATCCCGGGGTTGGGCAGGGATGAGGGGCTCAACATGACACCCCCCTGAGTTCAGGCTGCCCGCCTTGTGTCTCGGTGCAGTGGTGGTGATTACCTCATTGCCAGCTGAGGAGTTTAATGTCACACAGCCCCAAACTGCGGACCCAGGCTTAGAACCTAGACCTTGCTGATGCTTGTTTGTCCAGAAGCTTCCAGAAGCCACCTTCAGTGGGGCAGGGTGGGCAGAGCAGCTCTTTAGCTACGGCTTCTGGTGGGGGGGGGGGGGGGGGCAGTCCCGGAGCAAATTACAGAGCTTATTTGGAAACCTCTCTTGCTTCCTGGGGCCATCAAGAGCCCCCAAAGCCAGGCACCACCTCAAGCAGCACTAGATCTGTGGGAGAAACCACCTGCCCTGGGCCTGCCAGGCCACAGCATACCTGGGCATTAAAGTTTGTGGGTGGCCTCATGCAGGACCCCTCTCAGGATAACACCAGTCTTCACACCCAGGATCTGCGGAAAATGAGCTGTCGTGGGGAATTGGAGCCAAGGGGACTCTCCCTCCCAGCAGCTCGCTCTCGGCCCCAGGCCTGGAAGAGGAGACTAGTTTTTCCTGTTCTGCATTCTGAGGTCTTAGGAGGCCTTGGTTCAATTTTGAAAAAAATTTTTGAGACCCACCTGGAGCTTATCTTAGAGGTGCTGGCCATGGTGGCAGCATGAAGTCACTGGGCTTTTGTGTCTGTGGAGGCGCACCCCACACAACTGTGGCTGTGTTGGACCTGGGCCTCAGGAGTTGGTTTAGAGGATTTATGTGTCCCTGGGCTACATGCCAACTGTCCCCCCCCACACTGCACATGGTTGCCACATGAGGAGCTCTCCCAGTGTCACCCTGATCCCAAGATTTAGGCCAGTAAGCTATGGATCCTGTACTGGGGGAGGCATTGCAGAGTCAGGGATGGGTGTTTACAGCCCCCAGCAGCTTTCACTCAGCTCACCCTGAGGGGTGAGGGATGGTGCTGTTGCAGCTGCATTGTGGAGTCAGGCTTCAAGAATGAACACATGCTGGTGCCCCACAGCCCCATGTGTCTGAAGTGGCCTTCCACATGAGCAGGCTCGTATGTAGAAAAACAAAATTCTTCTCTCTTTTGACCAGTAGTCCTAATTGCTCCCACCAGGACAGACTGCTGCCTCTTCCCAGCCCTGAGAGCCCTGAATCTGTATTTATTTTTAAATTTAATTTTGTTTATTTATTCATTTTTGGCTACATGGAATCTTCGTTGCTGTGCACAGGCTTTCTCTAGCTGCCTCAAGCGGGCTTCCTGTTAGGGTGGCGTCTTGTTGCAGAGCGTCGGCTCTCAGGCCCATGGGCTCAGTGGTTATAACTCCTGGGCTCCAGAGGGCAGGTTCAACTGTTGTGGCACGGGCTTAGCTGCCGCGTGGCATGTGGGATCTTCTCAGACCAGAGATTGAACCTGTGTCCTCTGCATTGGCAGGCAGATTCTTAACCACTGGATCACCAGGGAAGCCCCTGAATCTGTATTTTTAATTGGCTCCTGAGATGGGTCCAGGGCTGCCTGCCACCAGTGCCTTTTCCTAGAAAGACAAAGGTACATAGAGTCGCCCATGACTGTGCCCAGCAGGGAGGCACATGCAGCCAAGGAGTGGGAGCTGTTCCTTTTCCCCAAGGTAGTTGAGGAATACTTTCAGAGAGGCTCATTTGAGATAGACTGTATAATAGGAGTAGGTATTTGCCAGGCAGCGGGAGGTCACTGGTGGGCCCAAGCTGTCCCTGCCCCCAGTCTCCACGCCACCACCCCACCCCTGACTCTTCTGCTGCTCTTGGTCAACAGGAGAGTAACAACATGGTGGTGCCCGCCATGCAGCTGGCCAGCAAGATCCCAGACATGTCAGTGCAGCTGTGGTCATCGGCCCTGCTAAGAGGTGAGGGAGAGATTGGGGCTTCCGGGCGGAGCAGAAGTCCAGAGGGTCCTGGGCCCTGCTGGGCCTCTGCAGGCCACAACCCCAGTTCTCAGGCTTCTCGAAAGGCTCTTTTTGAGGCCAGTGGGCTCATTTGTGCAGTGAGATCTACACAGCGTGATTCTGACTCTTTGGGACCCACGAGGCAGTTCTTGGCATCTGATTGGGCAGTGAACCCTGGCACTTGGCCTCAGTCTCCTCCCCATGAATGGGGACAGCAGTCCTACGTATCCAGCAGAACAAGCCAGGGTGCTCTGGGCACAGAGAGGGTGCTCAGCAGGTGTCACTGCTGCTCCACCATTTACAGATTGTGAAACCAGGGTCCATAGACTCACCCAGGGTCCTGGCGAGGAGGTAGAAGGCCGACTGTTCTCATCTGCAGTGGACTTCCTGCCTCAGAAGTGAACACTCGGTGCCCTGCTCCCTGCAGGCTTCTGGGTGCCCACAAGCTGGCCAGGAAATCCCTGGGAGAGCCACATCCAAGGGAGCCCAAAGGACTTTCATTGCCCTCATCTCTGCCCCTGTGGGCCCCGCTGTTCATCCACCTCCAAGGACATAAGACTCAGAAACTTGGCTGTTGGCTGATGGGCTTTGCTGACCCTGACACAGGGTTTAGGGCAGGTGACATGCCAGGCACACAGGAATCCCCTGGTGGAGCTGGGGTTTGACTTCAGGGCTCCACCCACACGTGAGGGGAGGGCATGGGGCAGTGGCAAGCCAAAACAGGCCCATCCTTTGCATGTACCCCCACCCCCCCCACCCCCAGACCTGAATAAAGCCTGTGGGAATGCCATGGATGCCCACGAAGCCGCCCAGATGCACCAGAACTTCTCGCAGCAGCTACTTCAAGACCACATCGAGGCCTGCAGCCTCCCTGAGCACAACCTCATCACGGTATGGACCCAGGGTAGGGGAGACAAAGTGAGGGTGCTGGGTGGCTCCTTGGGGCCAGCTCACCTGACCAGCAGCCCCCGGGGGATGCGGTTCCTGAGGAACGAAGTGCACCCTTGGCTACTGTCTCCTTGCATCTCTCCAACAAACCCTAACCCAGCCTGGCCTCAGGATCCCCCTTGGATGGGCGGGAGAGCTCCAACCCAAGTGGGTGATGCAGGCTGCTTCCTGGGGGCCCTGACCAGCCTGAGCAGGGCAACATTCCAGGCACAGACATGTGGCCCAGCAACCCCCTGCTCCTCACTAGGAAGGACCTCACCTGTGTGTTCTCTTTCCCCGCAGTGGACAGACGGCCCACCCCCTGTGCAGTTCCAAGCTCAGAATGGACCAAACACCAGCCTGGCCAGCCTCCTGTGAGACCCCTGGACGGGGCCTCTCAACTTCTCCACACCTCCGTGGGGACCTGGTGTGTCCCTGACTTCCACCCAGATGGCACTTGAGCTTTCCTTGGAGACGTGCTGGCATGGCTGTCTTCAGGCTTCTTTCCCGACTGTCTCCAGAGCACCCAGGTCCCTGGGGAGCGTGGAGGGCTGATTCCTGTCCTCCCAGGAAGGGCCAACTGGCCATTCTTGCCAGGTACCAGGAGTCGGAGTGCTGTGGCTTGCCATTGGGATGTTGGAGCCGACTTTGCAGAGCCATCCTTCAAAGTGGATTTGAACTGCCAGTCCTGCTTCCATGTCTGAGTCATATCTTCAAGAGAGTGTCTTGGTAGGGAAGGGGGTGTTGGCCGTCATCCAGGTCCTGACCCTGCATGCACGGGTGGTTGGTGCCACCGAGGTACCACATGACTTCCACAGGCCTCTGTGCTGGGCCAGAGTGTTTCCTCTGCTCATGGCAGCTTCCTGCGCCCAGAGGCAAGATGCCAGTTTCTGACCCACAATTAGAGGGAAGAAGTGATGGTGCCTGTCAGGGACGGAAATGCTTGTCTCACCCCAGTGCTTTTCCTGACTTGCCTTTCTGTTCAGCATCCATCCTTTTGGCAGCTGGGGCCTCTAGCTAGGGCTCCTGGGGGACCCCGGAACTTGACTTCTGAACATCTGCACCTTGACTGGATTCACTGTCCAGCTGTGGGAGCGCACCTGCTGGGGTTGATCTACGTGTGTGCCTGTGTGTTGCTTCCCAGCCAGAGCTGGTGCCTGGAGCTGAGACTCCTGTGTTCGTTTCAGCCGCCTTCTGCCTGTCAGAGTTCATAGTGCAGGGCGGGAGGGGCCTTTCTCATCCCAGCTCAGCTCTACCACCTTGCAGCAGCCATTTCCTTTGTACCCTGCCCTGTTTTTAGAAGGGAGGAGGAGAAGACCTACCTGCCTTGGGTCTTGGGATAGCATTGTAACCTCTTCCCGAGCTGGACCCCAGGAGGCTCTGCCAGGCCCAGGCAGCCATTTTTGGTTCTGTGCTCCTCTTGAATAGTCGAGGAGATGCCCCGGGTAACGGTGACATTGGGGGCCGTCACGGCAGCAGCCCGGCCCCATTTGGCTTCCAGTGCCTGGGAGGATCTCCCTGATGAGGGTGGTGTGCGGTTTTGCTAGTTATGGCTGCTTGTTGGTTCAAGTCTTGTTCCCTAACACTGTGAAAGCTGTTTCTCAAAGCCTCAGTGTCTGTGACGAAAGGAATGTTGGGATTGCTCAGGTCAGCCACTTGGGCCCCAAGGCCTGAGTGTGCCTTAGCCACTAGCAGGGCTATCAGCAGACCTCCTTGTTCTGGGTCACTGCCCACATCAAGGCCCTGCTGCCCTCTGGGGGCCAGCAACAGGCATGCAAGTAAGCTACTGAATGAAGGGACAGGCTGGTTGAAAGGACAGGCTGGCCAAGTTTTGTTCCTGGGTCACTTGAGAGTCCAGCCCTGTTCCGTGCTCCTTGGGGCTGCCCCTGGGTCTCTGAGGCCTGCAGAGGTGGTCTGCTGCCTGTTCATGAGCTGTCACCATCCTGTCTCCCTCCCCCTTTGAGGATCCCCCCCGCACAGGTCCTCTTCCACCAAAGGGACAGAGCACCTGTCGATACAAGTTGCACCTGCTAGCCTGGACTCCACACTGTGCAGCCTCTCCAGACCCACATTTCTTCAGTCCTGCTTTACGTTGTTTGAGTATTTATTTAAACCTTTCTTTGCTTCTAGGGCATTTTGTATGTAGAGCAGTTGAAATAAGAACCTCAGAACTTAACGTCTTGTCCTGATGTTGAAGTGCTTTTAGTGACCACTCTTGTTATCTATGTGTGTGTAAAGTTAAGGGTAAGTTGTTAAGTTTACAGTTAAAAATTCAGTACTTGATATTTAATATTCCGCTCTAGCTTTATGGAAGCCAACCTGCATGTACATGCATGCGTGCAAGCTTTGAACTTCCCCTTCATTGCAGCACCTTTTAGCTACATAAAGCTGTAGTAAATACCCTCCTGTAAGTCCAAATTCAGTGCCTCACAGTTTCTCAATCGTAAGAATTTAAGACACACTGCACACAAGCCCCAGAGATACATTAAAGCCAGTGTCATATAGCTGGGTGTTCAGAAAAAACAAAAACTCCAAACCCTTAAGCGCACGTGGGGTGTGAGGGAGTAGCAGAAAGATTGCTCTTGCAGGTTAATTGTTGAAAGCTGTCAGACTCCCTTTTGTGTGCCTCCTGCTTCTTCCTGTCAGTGGTGGTGGCCCTCAGGTCCTGCGGTTCTGAGGATGCCAGTCCTGAGGTCCAGGAGGTGCCGGTTCCCTCTCAGACACATAGTTGGACCCCCACAGTCACCCATGGGGGAGGCCAGGGTCCTCCCCCTGGGGTAAGCACTCCCCATCCCACTTATTGGGAACACAGGCAGGGAAATCCAAAAGGGCTGTCTGGCACGGTGGGTGAAATGTGTTGGTTGCATCATCTTTGTTTCCTTAGAGGGTTTTTTAATGTATGTTTGGCATACTGTCTTTTAATGGATTTTCAGTGTCTTAAGTTTTTAGCCGCCTGTATTTTCAGCTGGTGCTTTTAATCACGAAAAAAAATTTTTTTGTAAATACAAAGCATTGTTTAAAAGAGCCATAGAACATAGCATCTTGTTTGTAGATTTCATTTCCTATGTATTCAAAGTAAAATAACTTGCAGGAGCCATCACACTGCGTCTTTGTTGTGCGTGCGCCCCTCACATGTGCCTTAGTGAAGACTCTTAAGCTTCCGCAGCCAGCCCGCGGGGCCCCAGGGCCTTCTGCTGTAAGCTACAGGGCATGGAGATGCAGAGCCCCAGACCCTGGACGGAGGACCTGGTGGATACCTGCATCTCCTTCCCCTCTAATGATGATGTTCCTCAGCCCGCAGCCCTGCCTGTTGCTGGCTCTTGCCACAGACCAGACTTCTTTGCATTCCCACTGTCCTGTTTCCTGTGGTCTTAGAAAACACACGGGTCAGCCTTCATATGCCTGGGGTTTTTTGTTTTTCCTTTGTGAGATGAAAGTCATGTAAAATTTAATGTCTACAATTCAGTGGCATTCAGTACATTTACTGTGTACAATCAGCACCTCTGTCTAGTTCCAGAACATTTTTATCACCACAAAAGGAGACCCGCATCTACATTAGCAGTCATTCCCATTCTCTTTCCCCAGTCTCTGACAACCACTAATCTACTTTCAGTCGCTATGGATTTGATTGATCTGGGCATTTCACATAAATGGAATAGTGTAACATGTCCTTTTGTGTCTGGCTCCTTTCACTCAGCTTCATGTCTTCAAGATTTTTCTACACGAGAGCAGGTATCATTGCTTCATTTCTTTTTTATGGCTAAATAGTCTGTTGGATGATGGATGGACCACATTTTACCCGGTCACCACTGATGGGCTTTGGGCTGCTGCCCCCTTGTGGCTCTTGTGAGTAGTGCTCCTGTGGATGCACCTGTGCATTTACTTTGGCATGTGTCTGCAGTTCTCTTGGGCCATGCTTTTAATGCACAGGGATAGGACCATCCTGCCAGCCTTGCTGTATCAAGGCCCTTGTGTTGCTCTCATCCGTGTGCCCCGAGAGGATGCCCAGGTGGCCTTGAGTGCTCCCTTTTAGGAGCACTTCTGAAGATGCCTTTGGGCCACCGTCCCCAGGCAGAGTTGCTGGCCACTGGATGTGTGAGTGATTCGACACAATGCAGAGAACACACTTGGGAAGCAGATGATAGGAACTCAGCCAGGAGGCACCCACGGCTGAAGGGAGGACAGGAATGGACCTCACTGAGGCTCACAGGTGGCCAGGGCGGCTGGCCCAAGGATTAAATTCCTGGGAAAGGTATCACTACTAGTCCTCAATAACACTCCTCCCCAGTCCTCAGAAATCCTGCCAGTCACTCTGCCCATTCCTGGCCATCTTCTCCACCTGCCTGAGGCCCAGTCACGCCTCCCACCCGGAGGCTCCTCGCTGAATGGTCCCAGAGTATTCTGTGCTCACTCGCACCTGTCCCCTCGCTAGGAGTACTCTTCTTGTGGTTGCTGGGTTTCACTGGGGAACGTTTTGGCATGGGACAGCCCAGAGGGAAGGACACACGGGCCATCCCTCGGCAGGTCCGGCAGGTACCACTGTGGACACCTGCCTACCGCATTCGCGGATAATCACCGTGGCCGGGTCCCTGCTGACCTGCACCTTAGAGGGGGCCTGGACCTCACAGCCCCGCTGATGGGCTCCTGTGGGCCTGGGGATTGAAAGTGTTCCTCATGTGTGTTTGCTTCCCCTTTGGTCTCCTCGAGCTCTTTGAGTTGATATTTCCTCACAAAGAAAGCTATTTGGGGAGATTCATGCTATGTTTCTGTCTGTGCAGCACCTCACACCGCTTCTTCCATTTGAACTACACTGCCTTCTTTCCCTAGTACAATCCCAGTCAGCTCAGAAGTGCCAAGTGGAGGCTGACCCCTGCAAGGGGTCTGAGAGGGGAGGGGGCAATCTGAATTTGGTTTTCTTAGCACTTTGACATCTTTTGATACTTTTTTCAAGGACTGGAAAATAAAAGGACTATTGTTCAGTTGCTAAGTTGGGTCCTGACTCCTTGTGACCCCATGGACTGTAGCCCTGCAGGCTCCTCTGTCCATGGGATTTCCCAGGCAAGAGTACTGGGAGTGAGTTGCCATGTTCTTCAGAGGATCTTCCTGACCCGGCGAGCGAACTCACAGCTCCTTCATTGGCAGGCAGATTCTTTACCACTGAGCTACCAGGGAAGCCTGAAGGGACTGTTACAGTGATGCTTTCTGAAAAATGTAACTCTTAATGAATTATGACTGCTTCAACAAATGTAGTTTTAAAAATTGTAACATTCAAAAAAAAAAAAAACCCCTGTAACACTCTTACACTAAGGAGTTCCCTGTATGAAGAAAAGCTCGCTGAAATAGATCCTTAGAAGTGGGCCACTTGGTCAGGGTGTGCCTGTTTTGCTTTGAGTGTTTCTGACTACAATTCTGAATGTCATGTGTCTGCTCAACTTAATGTTCAGGCTCTGTCTGCAGGTGGGTGTGCTCTGCCCAGAGCGAATGTCTGTGTGGCCCTGCAGGATGTCCTGCTACTGAATACAGGGTTCTGTACAGAGATGCTCCCCTAAAGGGTTAAATACAAACTGCTCAGAAGTGACGTGAACCGGAAGTAAATCTCCCATCTCATCTTGGTGTCAGCTGCTGCCAGTGGCCTGGTCTATTCCAGCCTCAGCCACCAGGGGGCGTGGACACCCCAGTCAGCGGCCCCACCAGGCAACGCAAGCAAGCTGGGAAGGCTGGTCTGGGTGTCACCAGACCTCAATGTAGCCTGGCTCTGTCCTCATCTGCAAGGATGTGGGCTGACCTTTACCTCAGGGCCGCTCAGTTTCCCTCCTGTAACTCGCGGTTTGGAGAAGCTGATCCCCATGGTTCTCTAGGTGTCAGGGCTACACCATTCATTCCTTCATTTATTCACCAAACATTTGGCACCTACTGGGGACACAGCAGGAGCCACATCAGAAAAAGTTCCTGCCCTCAGGGAGTGGACACTCTACCCGCAGCGCTACGATGGACCTCAAACAGGAGCGAGTGCTGTCTTGCCTGTGAGAGAAGTAGCATGCTGCAGGAGGGGGCAAGCAGGGGGCCTGGGGGTAGTGGAGGAGGAAAGGACAGGGGGAGGCCTTCCTCAGCCAGCCGGTCAGCTGGGCAGGCAGATGACGTTTCCGACTTGTGCTACACAGCCACCGAGACTGTGGGGCAGGAACGGACAGCCCTCCCTTCTGGACACTCCAGAGAGGATGCCCAAGGGCTGCCACACGTGCCCACCACCTCAAGTCCAACCGAGGCCTGGGTCATGTCCAGGAGGACGTTGATGAATGGAGAAAGTGCCTGAGCCCCCTTGTCCATGGGAGTGACTGAATCCCCAGGCCCCCTCAGGCTCTTCCCCCAACACATTTGGGGCCACATCCCAGACGTAAACTCAGGTGGGACTGCAGACAGGGCTGAATGTGAGGCTGACAGAGACGGGGTCACCCGCCCCCTTGTGTAACACGGACTCCAAAAGCACGTAACCAAGGGTCGGAGCCCGGACATCACCACGAACTAACCAGAGAAGATGCCTCAGAGCTGGGTCCTGAATTCAGGTACTGTACGCCTGTTGCCTCTGTCATCTGGCTCCCACAGATGGAAGTCCCAGCAGGGCCACACCCAAATCCCTCACTCAGGATCTGTTTTTCTCAGCATCTAGTTTTCCTGAGACCCAAGGCCTTGATTTAAGGAGATTATTTTTTCTCGGGGATTATTTGCCCCTCCCTGACTTCTGGAATAGCCCGAGACCATTCCTGGGGTTGCCCTGTGGGACACCCACATGCCTTGGATGCGGAGTACAGGGCCAGGTGGGTTTTGCATGCAGACAGACCCCAGCATTAACTGGGCCCCCAAGGTGGGACAGGAGCCCACAGCTCCTCCTCCTCCACGTCATCTCTCTGCATTCTTCCAACCTTGAAACTTTACTTCAGGTCTCGCAGCCACACCCTCGGTGAGGATAATAGGTTGGTGCTGAGCACACTGCCCTCCCTTCTTCTGGTGCTTTGGTGGTTAAGTCGCTAAGTCATGTCTGACTCTCTGCGACCCCATGGACTATAGCCCGCCAGGCTCCTCTGTCCATGGGATTCTCCAGGCAAGAGTACTGGAGTGGGTTGCCATTTCCTTCTCCAGGGGATCTTCCCAACCCTGGAATCGAACCTGGGTCTCCTGCATTGCAGGCAGATTCTTTACCAACTGAGCTACGAGGGAAGTCCCTTCCCTTCTCATAATTCTCAGGAAAAAGGCCAGAATCTATATTTGGTCACCCAAGAAACCTCCCCACACAACACAATACATACCTGGATGCAGGGACGTCGAAGGCATTTTGATCAATACCGTGTGGGCAGCTAACGAGTTGGGGCACCCAAAGGAATCACCAGTTCAAGGTCACAATTTGGGGTCAAGGTGGATTTTTGGAGCTGGTTAATTCCTCACTCCCAAGCCACACCAGACTCTAACCTGCATGTCTGACGAGCTCCTCCAAAGGCAGTAGGCTTCGGGGTCATGTGAAGTGAGTTATCCAAACCTGAGCTGACTGACACTCGGGGATAGGTTTATAACACAGGAGAAGTCGTCATTGATCTGAAATTCAAATCTAACTGGATGTCCTATGTTTTCATTTGCTAAATGCAGCCACCCTGGAGGTTCAATAACATCTTTGAATAAAAGAATGTAGTCATGAAACCAGAGAGCTGGAAGATTACTGAATCCAAACCAGGAATTTTACCAGTGGGAAACAGGACTCACAGAGCTTTGTAGCATGCTTACTTCTCCCCATCGGAATAAAACCCCACTTCCTCGCCGGCCCGCAAACATCAGCTGACCTCTTCCACTTAATCCCTGCCCACCAGCTTGCCAGTGGTTCTCTGCCGAGCACTGCTCCCTTCTGTCCAGTGTGTGCATCCCTGGGCTGAATCCTTGTTAAGATTCAGATCTCTCAAATCTACCTGCTCACAAGTCTCCCACCCCTGTCCTGGTCAGAGCCCTTTCCAGTCACTATGTCACATGCCCAGTTACTTTTCTTTTTAGTGGCTGCTCCACGCGGCATGTGGGATCTTAGTTCCCAGATTAGGGATGGAACCAGCACCCCCTGCA